CGAATGACGAGCTAACACGCCCGGATTGTTGCGATCATGACACGCCGAGAGAGAGCAGCAAAACTTAGTAATCGCGGCAATGATAAAATTCCGTATTTACACAATCGATACGCGACATAATAATCCTTCATCGCATAAATGCCTCACGGGATCGAGCTGACGTAGATAGTACAGAATCGATCCGTGACGGCAAATCATTCGGTATGTGCGCGAGAGAGAGAAAGCGATCAGTCACTTACGTTCGACGATTCCTCCGCTTTACCCTCGCCTCCGGCCTTAATTCGGCAGCCTCCTCCTTGATCCGTCTCAAAAATTCTCCACTCAGGTCCCCTTGGATCTCTGTCGGCACTTAGGATACAGGGCACGGCACTTTTGAGAGGCGACGCACTCGCGTGAACCACGGCTCGCAGAACAATGATTTCGGCTTCCGCGGCAATTGCTCTTCTCGCCGTGCGCGGTTCTNCGCGCTATGTAATGAGCCAATCAGGATTAGTTATTCGCGGCGCTGTGATTGACAGCGGCCGCAGGTATCTCGGCAGCGCGTCAGCTCGGGCCCTTTTCCAGCCGTCTCCGGCCCGCCTTGTCAATTTTCTTTTAGGTGAGCTTCTCCAGGCTCATCTTTCGGACATACGGGTCGAGGACTCTACCGGGAGCTCCGCTCCAGCTTTCGGGGAGTCGGAGTGCTAGCTTCTCCCATTTTTCCAGCCCGCCGCTGACGTCTTCGCCGTGCGCCTCGTGCCGAGGATGCTTTACGCCCCTGTATAGCCGTTCGTCCTTATCTTCTCTCTTCCTTGCTCCTCTTTGCTCGACGCCACGCACAGTGAACTGTGTTCTCTCTCTCTTGCTCCGTGCTGAAGGAAAAGCTACAATCTAGCCGCTAAGCGGCCCGTACGGCAACAAACGATAATTAGGCGCAATTAATATACCAACGTGCGGCAAAAGATAGAATATACAATATTATGTGCCATCATATANTACTACGTAAGCTGTAAATAAAATACAAAATTAATATACGTGTGACATATCAAATACTCGCCACCTCAAATACTGACGCTATGCGTCCTCGCAAAATTAAGCGCCTACGCGTGCGCTACGCCGCTTAATGAGCTGCTCTCCCTAAA